GAAACTTTTCTTTCTCATGTAAGATAACAGAGAGGCAAGGTAAATAATTGTCTATATTGACAAAGCTGAGAAAGTGAAACTTTCCAGTTTATCTAGGCATATCTCTTTTGCATTTATCTTTATTGAGGTTCTATTTATTGATTCGAATGCCTATGAAAACAAAAAATTGCAGAAATTTGCTTTTGAACACGTTCTATGATGAATTTGTATATTTTCTTTTGATTTTAAACACATTTTTTCCCTATAAAAGTTTTTTTTCTATTCATTGGTCCATATTAATTATTTTATCATATGTACACCATTCTATTTTATGTTACTTAATAACTTCTTTTCTGAAAATTGTAAAGATTTCGAGAAACATATCATAGTTAGTGTTGCAAAAGTTGAAGTAAAATCAGCATACAAATAATTCTTCTATTGATTTATACTTTACCATTTCTTCGATCACTATGGACTACTTGAGTGTATCAACTGTGTTATCAACGATAAAATGCTTGCGAATCGTATTTTTGATGGAAACGTTCATGATTAGTCAACCATAAGTCTGAATCTTGTCTCAACTGACACCCACATTCTTTTGTGCAATTTATTTAGCATTTTCAGTTGTAGTATTCCATTCAATCATGATTAAATCGAGCTGTAGTAAGAAATTATTTGATGTACACTGCGTTGTATGGGTGATCTTGTAAGCTTATGAACGATGTAACTTCGATTACTCTTTCAATTCCATTAATTTCAAGTTTTTCGTCCTATATGATAACACGACCTACATTATGAAAAGGCAACTAATGTTGAAATTTATACAAGCAAGAATTTTATTTCTAGTCACTTTTTTAGCAGATTTATAGATCTATCGTTATTTTCTTTTCGGCCTATTGTTGCACTTAAGTATAGATAATGTCACATTGTAAATTAGAATGATATTTTTATACATAAAGAAATTAATATATTGAGCTTCCTTTTCATAGAACCTATCTCGAACAAATGAAAATCACTATGTATATGAGGAACCGATAAGATGATTGTGAGAAAAAATATTCGAGATCTATGAAACAGAATTGAATTAATATAATTAATTTATGCATAGCAAAAATAAAATCGATTATGTAAAACTCGTTAATTCATTCCAAATTTTCAACTATTCATATCTCGGAAATGATATATTGATACATGGATAATCGATATAATACGACTGACACATACAAATGGCATCCAAACCCTAATCGATGTTAGAAATAGACAGATGCATTCTTTTCTGCTTTCGAAGACACTCACATCTGATGATATGAGGTTAAAAAATGTAAGCTCGAAATCCATGAATTTGCAGCCCATGTGTCACTAATCAGCTATGTGCATCTGGTCTAGAGTCCTGCAACCCGGCCGGATACCCGAAACCGAACCGAACCGGAGCATGAGTTCGGGTAAAATTTCTCGGATCGGTTCGAGCGTCGGGTTAAATAAAAAATTTCGGTTCGGGTCCAAGTGTGAGCCCAAACCCGGATTCGAACCGACAATTAGTAACAGCCTAACTTTTCAAAATATTTTTACTATTTCAAACTGATATTTATTGTTATGGAGATATTGAGATAAGAATTAAAGCCGATTGGATCATCATTTTTACCAAAGAGTGAATCATAGAAATGAGAAAAAGTTTTTGTTCTGTTGTTTTTCAAGATTCAAGGTACCCAAAATTATGTTTTACCTGGTTTTGATTTTACTTATTATCAATATGAATACTCCTAAAAAAGAAAAAGAAAATGTTAGAAAAATATTGAATAGCGTTTGTTTAACACATGTTCTAAACCCGCGTTAGCCACAGCACAGAGATGGAACACTTTTGTTCGGATAAAAGATGATAAGAAAATATCGTTCCATTTGTACAATGTATTGAGTGTTTGTCAATTTTTGCTTATGAATCCATCTAAAACTGGTTTAAGTACTTATAAAGCACGTGCAAAAAGTTGTCTTGGTGGTGGTTCTTCTAGTTCAAACAAAAACCAAGACATCCTCATAATGATGAACAGAGATAATAATAGTAATATATTAGCTGGTGTGAAGGGTATATTTACTGAAGCATGTGCTAAATTTTGTGCTTATGATTTACGCCCGTACAAATTGAGTTCTGAATCACTCGATTCACTTGCTTTTCTGTAATTTCAGATGAGTGTTTTTGTTGTTTATTTATTAAAGTAGATTGTATATTTTTTATATGAAATAAAGTTTGAAATTAGTTGTATGTGAAAATGGTAGCCGGGTGTGTTATATTTATAAACGGTTGCCGGGCGGAGCTATTCGGGTCCGGTTCGAATCCGGGTATGGAGCTACCAGGTCGGTTCGGACTCGGGTACGGAAAAAAAAGTTCCGGTTCGGTTTCGGATGGAAAAAAGTGCACCCGTGCAGTACTCTAATCTGGTCAAAACATACGAATCTCAAACCCTGAGTATTTTAAATAGAACTTTCGAATGTTATACATAGACTCTTCAGCAATTCTTGGGATGTCCTTAACTACATCACAGAAGATCTTCAATAGATCTCTCGGCGATCTCCAAGAATTCTTGGTTGATATTCAGGAGGGAACTCGTAGTCGATGTCTAGGGATTGATAGGAGATTTCGAGAGAATTTCTATCGAGTCTCTGGAGAATCAATAGATATTAATATTGAAGTCTAATAGAGTTTCTATTTCAAGACAACGTCCTCTCTAAAGGAAGAGAAGAATTATATGTCGAGAAGGTGTATAAGGGTACATAAGGTGTTACATACAAAACTCGAAAAGTCTTTACGAATTCTCAACTCTCCAAGTATTTAACTCGACTTTCTATAGATCTCAGAAGAAACCTGGGTTATAACATATATGCAACAACAATGACGATGTTTGAAAATATCGTATTGAAGCCTTGCATGCTGACAATGAATACCCAGCGTATATTTCTCTTTATCAAGCTTACTCAACCAGTTTCGATACATCCATTAATCAAAGAGAAACATATTGAATATTTTACTTTTTTTCTGACATTTCCCATTATGTGCAGTGATTTCGAAAGAAAAAAATCTAGTGAGAGAAATATCTCGCAACGCAAAGCAAGAAAAATTCAGAAATCGAAAAGAAAAAATTTAGAAAGCATCATCCTTTTGTTCGATCCTATATAGAATTGTTTTCGATTTCTTTTCGTTCATCGAGCTTCATATGAGTTGAACTGTGATACCTGCTCATCAGTAGTATGTTCTCTTTCACCATACTTTCAATAATCGTATAATCCACCTCTCTTCTCTTACAATGTTATCTTCCTATATTATCATATATGTTTAATGGATTGATGACCCTATTTTTACTTCTTAACAAAAAAAATTTCACCAATGATATCTCTTATGAAGTACTAAATCGATCTTCAAGTTTTTCCTAATGCCGATATACGAGTTAACGTAGATAATTCAGATACTAGAATTAATTTAAATACTAGAATTAATTTAAATACTAGGATTATAACCTTGTGTTATGGCCACGAAGCCTTGAAACGCTGATCTTCAAACATTTCGAGTGTATCTCTCCAGGTGAAGGTGCCATGCAATGCAATACCTGTATTACCTAACGTATCTTTCGTATTTGAAACTCTAGCTATGTTATGGAAATTGAAAAAGAGCATCTAATCAATACATCCTGCACACTCTCATACACCTTGTGCATTCTATGCTACTTATGTAGGTATGTGATATGCAAGAACTATACAACAAATATCAAAGATCGATGACATAACAGTGGATTCCATAGATATCCACATACTCCCAAGAAAGCGACATACATGTACTCGGAAGACGAAAACTCTATTAGACTCGACGAGGTCGACTGACTCATGTATAGTAGTGTTCTTGAGAAATATTACAAAATGATGAGCTTTAAAAAATTGTCAACAGTTATTTTGTCAGAAATATCTGTATGTCTACGTGAATTCTGTGAATGTTTGATGAAAATTATCTATGAACATTAGTCATCTCAAGATAATACGATTTCTCATTAGAAAATATGCGGATTCAATTTCGTAACACATTTTGTTTTCTAAAAATTCAAGTTTCATTATCATTTATTTCAGAGAACATTGTCGATTCTATTTTGATAAAGTAAAAAGAAACTTTGTATGTGAAATATACTGAAATGAATCATACACCTTAAATAT